GAATAGAACAGACATTTCTCTGGAAACAAAACTACATCGTCCTGCGGGTGTTCAGCGCCAGAACTGAGGTCAAAGTCCAGTTATTTGAGGATCCTGGCAGCCCGGGAATTATGTTTTAATGAGGAACGAGTGGAGAGCTCAAGCCAGCGTGTGACATGAATGAGAGCAAGCCACAGAGTGCAGGAGACGCGACAGTCCCGTCTGAAATGTCGGTATGAACTTTGGACATCTTCTGGTCGGTTACATGTTGAATAGATCTAAACGCCCTCTGTCTAGATCCACGTTGTGTTCATACATAAATCCCAAGACACGCAAAGTATATATTAAGTTTAAATAAAATCCCCTCTCTCGTTTCATGAAGTCTGTGCAGATTACTACCTGCAGCAGTTGGTGATAATTGAATGTTTCTTTGGTCAGTTGATTTCCTAAAGAATTTGACCTTGAGCGGGTAATCCACAATCGAAAATTAAAGTATTCTGTAGGTGGACTTATCAAACGGAATTGTGGAATTAGATGTTCAATGGTCTCAGAAAGCATGGTAAAAGACTGAACAGTATGTGTTTAAAATTATCACAACCGAAAAAAAGTGTTACAGACATAATCTTCGATGTCTGGCGTTTTTTTTATTTTAGTTCGAAACCCGAACTTCGCCATAGGCAGTTGATGAGGTTTCGTTTTTCGCTGGTCTGATATTAACCTTTATTTTATTATGGAGAGACTGAGTTCAGGCTCTGCCTCTTGTTTTGTCAAGTAAAAGTAAAAATCTCGCATTAGAAGAGACTCGAATTGTGGTTGTAACTTGTCCTTAACGTACCATGTGCTTGAAGATTACTCACATGTGAGACTCATTTTTAGGTGAAAAGGTATATGATAGAAATTTTGCTTCATTTCAAATGACAAGATATACAGTAACTTGAGTGCTGAATTATGAGGATAGTCGGGTGACCTTGTCTGCCAAAGCCATTGCTAGACTCCGCAAAGGCATGATTCAGCTACATTGTTTCCAGGAAATGTACGAAGTGGACGTCACTGTGTTCGCCCTGCGTTGACGCCCATCTCGTATTTCGCACATCCTCCTAATGTGTGTGTTAGGTTCAGCTGCGAATCGGGGACTGAGCCAGACAAATAAATTATCTAAACATGTAGGTGGGGGTTTATGCAACAGACTGTTTCATAATTTTTGGGTGCGTCAGGAGCTCAAAAAAATTATTCAAACAGGCATGAAATTAAACTAAACCCCTGTTTAGGGATCACAGGGGAGCAACAGCTGAGCCTTTACGGGGGCAGTAACATTGACACACGACATTGAAGAGTTGGTGGTTTGACAAATCGAAACTTAAACTGAGTAGCACCCAGCGGTATTCAATCAGCGGTTTCAACTCATCCTCGTTTTATTGACAGAGAAAGAAATCCAGGGGATAACCAATTGGGATAAGCTGGGGTTATGCACACAACTGGCCTACAGTGAATTTATTAGAATAGATAACACGCAGCCTGGACATGTACTGACGATCAAAGTGGTCCTTCAGTCTCCTATGCACGCCACCTCGATGCGGCGCATTTCCCGCACACAAGCAGAGAGGCTGTGGAATGTGGTAGTACCTGTGTGTAAAGGTGGTTAGGCCACAATCTCTTTCAGGAAATGCGCCAAGCAAGTTGACGCCCATTTAACTCACATTTCCCGTTAACACAAGAAGGTTATAACCGCAAAACGTAGCCCGTTTAGTTTGCTAAATTAACGCGCTTTTGCGGAAAAACTTCATAATGCTGAAAGTTATGCGAGTACGGAAAATTTCCAAACTTGTATTATTGCTTTGGAATGTAAATAGCCTGACAATGCGTGCAGTTTTAAGTTATGGCCGGAATAAACTCTTTAGTAGCTCATTCAAGGGTGCCTCATTCGGATCTTCACAAAAAACTCGCAAATCAGATTACCAATTTGTGGCTGAAGCGATTTTTTTCGAACTACTAGCGTAATTCTATACCGCATTTAGGCCACGAAAATATTTCTCTTAGTGCGACTGGATAGGTCAAGAAAAAGTAGATATTCTAAGGTTGGTAGGGAAAACAACAAAAAGGCAAGTATTATTAGAGGGCATTGCAATACTTCATTTTGGCTTAGGAGATAGTAAAATAAACGTATTTTTTTACCGTGGAAATGTCTTTCCCCATGCTCTAGTCACAATGCCAATCGAATTAATTTAGGTTAGCTACCAGTACAACAATCACGCCTATGATCTGCATTTTTCCTAGGATAATTTCTAAAAAAACTCCTGCAAGTAATTCCGTACAGTAGACAGATGTCTTTTCTTTATCAAAAACAAGTAAAGTATTAAGTGCACATGTACAAAGGGTCACTGCAGTACCAGCCAAATTGGCCTTAAAACTGTCGAAAAGACATGAAAAAAAATAAATGCAATTTGACATATGACAAATGGGACTTCAAGTGCTCGTTGTAAATTGTTTTGCAAGAATGTTTGATTTCAAAACATAAATTCGCTTGTGACAAAAATGCGTAAGTCATGACCACTTGTCTAAACTTCATAACAGACGTACCGTATACATAAAGTGGGGGTCCAAGAACGGTTCACTTGAGACAAAAACCAAATAACCACGCTTCCTTGAAAAAAATGACAGAGGAATGCTGTTGGTTAGGCGACAGGTTAATCCAATTGTGGCACCGACCGTACTGTCCCCACTTCTGCTGCTGCCTCTGTAGCGTGCCGTAAAAATTAACGCGTTCTTTTTCTTTTAGTTTCTTTGGCCATGGTGCTCGCGTGTGTCCATGCTGTCAGGCTCTTATCCAGTCGGACAACCAATCGATAACCTCGTTTGTCGTAGTCTTTACGCCCATTGGTCAGCGCTCTTGCTTGCGTTTATTCAGGGTGTACGGCCGCATACGCGTTTCCCGTAAATCCGTCAAAATCGCCAACACTCATGGCAGTCGAGGCTCGCCTTGGTGGCGCTGATGTGTTGGGTAGCCGTGCGGCGTGATCTGGGTCTTGGCCTTGGACATGTTTTAATCACAGGGGCACCACTTGAATATAGCAACAAACTCGCGGAAGACCAGCGTTTTGCATTGGAACAAAAATCAATACAAATAGCTATTCGCTGAAATTTGTTTTAACCATTATAGTTCGCATTATGGGAATTGACAGTTCTAGTTGCACTACCATCATGCGATGGAGTAAACAGCTGACTGAGGTAACCTCTGCGTAATAATGGATTCAATTTATAACGGAACAAGTAAGCACGGGACAGATTACGTGAAACTTTCAAAGCAAATTTCGAGGTTGAACCGATTCTGAAATTAGGAAAAATCAATCACGGCATGCTATAGTGACAAAGTCCCATCGACCATGTTTGCAGCACGAAATGTACATCTCTGTCCTACCATCACACACAGGGTCTTGACGACAGTTTTGTGATATGACATTTATGCATTCTTCTGGTCGAGGAATCATCGAACAAAACTTGTAGCGGAGCTTTCGCTATCATCAGTAAATGGCGCCTTGGGAGTCGGAAGTGAGGTATACAAACTGCTTACGAATCTAACTGAAAAACTTCAAACAGCAAATTGTCACTAAAAAAATAGAAAATTGGCACTCACCCTCCACTATTCGCTAAGATTGTTAAAATGGAAAGTGTGGGTTTAATTATAAAATCGAACTCATGCCAATTGTGGGACTGCCGATGCCTAGATAGAGAGGCATCAGCACAAGATGCAAAACGCTTCTGAAAGTACAACTGAGTTTGTGAGGAGATTGAATTCCACCTTTTTACTTGTTTAATTGCGTTAAATTCACGCTCCACTGCTCAAGTAAGGGGCTATCAATTGAATAAAGAGAAATAAGGTGTTTTTCAGATATCCGATTTTCCAAAACAGCTGCGAGGTGTTGGAAAGTATGGATTGCATCCAAAATCACTGCTTTGCTAACTAATTTTGCCGATTTCAGGCTCAGATTGTGACATTCTTCTCTCCCACTAACATAAACACCTTGGTGTGTTTATTTCTCACATCATATTGCGAGTTTCGTTTACACGACTTACTAACAAACGCCCATGTTTTAAGTTTAAATTCACAAACAGCGTTTCTAAAAATGAACTAAAAATTATCTTTTATCGTCATTGTGTGCCTTTTAAAGTTCAGGGTTGAGGCATGACATTGAAATGTCATCCGAACTGGTATCTCACCACGTTTACATTTTTTTTCTTGTATTTATTTACAGTAAAAAAATTTCATGATTTTGAAAGCCTGTTAAATTGGCATCTTTGATTGCAAGTTTTCTTTTCCTATGAGAATTCATGATTTTTGATTTCTGCCATTTGGCAGATTTAATAAACTGACTGAAAAACGTCGCTTTGATGGTCACGATTACGCACATATCCCACGTCCTTTCCTGTCCTCCTTTCATTGGCAGTTTAATGGAAGTTGGTTACTGGGGCTGCCTTCAGAACGGCTCGCACGGAGCGATTATCTTGCGGCTAAAGAAACTATAGTATCAAGTTTGAAATTGCCTGTGGTACAACCTGAAAACACAAGCACGTCTACTAGAATAGAAAAAAAGATTTTTTTTCAGCGTTGTCGGCAAAAAGGAAACCTGATAAATTGCGGTTTCTTAACCCGAACAAATTTTTGTAAGAAAAAAACCGTATCTCTGCGGTGCTTTGAAGTTTACTTGGTGTGGGTTAAAGGAAGTTATAGTGAAATTGTTATGGTTGCTGGGGTATTCTTTTTACACAAGCACACACTAATAAAGGCAAGGGCTTTTGCCTTTGGTGTTAGTGATTTTCCTTAATTGTTCAGCAGTGGAGTCCCTCCTACTTCTATAAGTACACGTAGAGCTTCTTAGTGGATAGTACAAAAATATGAGAGACATGAATTAAAAAATAGTTAAATTTGTGAACTATACGCATCAACCCTTGGATCAGCCTCCGACAAATTCCAGATTAAAAATGTTACTTATAATTCAAAAGTAACACTAGTTTAATTATGTTACCTTTAGCTTGACTTGATAGCCCAATCAGCCTTAAGTCATTGAAGAAAGTCTGCTCCGCTGCCACTGGAATGCAGAGAGATTGGCACTCCCGAACAGGACGCTGGGGACAGCACTGGTCCTTCTCGTGGCCCGTCAAACTGTGCCGCTTACGACACAGCGGTAGCGTGACATCGTCCACAAAAGTGTGCGGCAATGCGGTGCTTGGGGAAGGTGTTTCGAATTTCACTAGATGAGTTTCCTTGTGATTAAACAATTTCCTAAATGTTTTCTTTTTTGTTGATTTGACCTCCATGGCACCTACAGAAAAAAATGGTGATCAGTTGTATCAACAAAACTTTCCGCAATGGCTCAATAAATCGTAAAAAGTGCAACAAACTGATTCACGGCATCTTCGCCATAAACAACTTCCCCGTTGCTAAAGGCTGACATTCACAAGTAAAAGTTAATAATAAAAAAACCGATCTTCATATACGGGCCATGAATCACTTTTGTCATCGGTTTCAGAAATGCAAAGAAAAAGCGATTTTCCACAGGTATTTATGAAATTGTGTACATTCAGTGTCAGTTCAAAGCGCAGTTGCATTATGTGTGTTACCGAGATCGATGCTGAAAGCTGAACACTGGAATGGAATTAGGTTTTGTGTCATTGATCATTCTGAGTTTATTTTTCAGTCGCAATTAAATTCTTTAAATGTGGACTAACCCCTAAAAAAGCTCCTTTATGGTACAAATCTGGATGGTTTTTTGATTTTTTTTTTAAGGCTGTATTATAGACACACATTTTTCATCCTGATAACGAACAAAAATATTAATAATTTGTTCACTAAAAAGTGAGGGGCGGTTCACACCTAGTGCTGCATCATCTTGGTCTTCTCAATTATGCTCTTAGTTAAACAAATCGCCCAAAGGTGGTTATGAAATTTCTGGCTGAGGGTGAGGACTCAAAGAATAAACCAAGTAGAAATCTGATGCTGTTTAAAATAGTGTTTATCCAACAATAAAGGAAAATCTTGTTTCTGCAAAAGTTTAATTTCAATGTCCAAGGTGCTTTTCATAACCACTAATACCTCCTCATAAACGTATAAGTACAGTTAAAGATACCGTAAATTTTGTTTTGACTGAAATGAGTGACTGGTCCTAGCAACAAAACTTTAAAAATAACAGTTTTCTCAGTTTGGGACTAAGAAGAAAATTTTTTTATGTAATAAGTAAATTGTAATTATAACTGATGCCTTCAACGGAATAAAATGATGCTAATTGTAAAAAAATATAAAAATGGACTCATTTGCGTCCTCAAAATATGTGTAAAACAGTAGCATTTGTAATTCACTGACGAAAGCAGAACAGATTAATCATCGTCACTTCTTTTTTCATGAACTTTAGAAATTTCAAGAACCCTTTTAAGAGTACCTCGACACACCGAAAATGCTTAGATTCATTGCCCACCACAAGAGCAGGAGAAAACTATGCAAAGACCGAATGACTTGAATCGAATTATCCAAAGCTGGCTTAGCTTTCGCATAGTGAACGAGGTCTCTATGAAGATTGCAAGGTTTTTTTAATATGATGGTTTCCTAGGAACCTTTGTATTCGACTGATTTACGCACTTCACATAAATTTCGCAAACAGAATTTGCCCCACAAAAATGGATGGTTGACTCAAAGCATTGACCCTTTAATTCAATAAAGCAGCAAATTATTAGTAAAACCCAGTAGATTATATTTACTGCAGGTCTGATATCGTATCTACCAGTTTACCGAAATATAGGGTATTATAAAATGGCCACTCCATGAGGGACAATAGTTAGCATTAAAATCTGAAAGTTTAAAGCCAACTAATTGGTTTCCTAGACGTTTCTGGTTCCTGACCTGTAGACAACGACAGTTGCCTTATTGTAGTGAATATGGCTTTCTGAATATGGAACACGCTGTAAAACTGAATGCTTAGGCTAGATTGCCCTTTGTGACGCAAACGTATTTTCTTTCCTTATAAGAGAACAAACGATGCAAACTTTGTATCTGCATTAACCGGCGTTGCAGCTTGTCGAAATCCTTAACCATGTACAGAAATGTTTACTGTCATTTTACTCGTAAAAGTAAATCTAGAATCATAAGAACCGGAAGGCATGGCCTGATTAAGGCACTTCGCTTCAACATGCAGCCCAGCCAAGCAGGTTTATCTTAACTGGTAGATAATTTAAAAATATGTGGTCTGATATCCTCTGTGCATGACTATGAAATATTTTAGCGCCAACTTTTGAAAAGCCATGTTGAAAATCACGATAAATGTCGGAAACAGAGGAACGCACCACACTATAACTATTAATTTGTGAAGAGCTGCAAAAAAATGTGAAAAGCTAACATCTTATTTGGTTCGACGGATTTTGGCGCCAAATGTGCAAAAAACTACCAAAAATCGGCTAGACGTGTTGAGGGCCCCGGCATGTTGTCTTGAACCATGCCGGGGCCAATGCGATTATCTAGGCCGAATACGTTACCCTGCGTTCCCGCGAAAATATAGAAGACCGGAGTGGGGAAGGCACAACCGTTTACTAGACCGCTCAACCAAGTTGTGTCGTGTACAATTACGGTTCAGTGGACATGTACAAAAACACCCTGGCTCTGTGAGGTCACATGAATAAAACTGGTGGTGGGACATGCACAGGTGTTAATGGACCAATGGCCTCACGTGACTGACGGGCAGGTTGTGAACAGAGGGGACATGTGTGAGGCTGCGACGACTGGGTGTTTAACGTGAATCAACACGATTCACTACAGACGTATGCATTAGCCAAATATTGCTGGCGAACTCTCAAGAACAATTTTTTTAGAACCAAAGTGTGTTCAAAAAATTACAGCGACTAGAAATTTATCCTCGCCTACTTTGCTAAAGAATCTAAAATTCCAGTGAAAAGGTTGCATGCCAGAGGCCTTATTGGCTCGCAGTAAATTATTTTCAATGTCTCGTGCTGGTGTGTGCCGTTGTTGCAAAACCCCCATAGTCGGCAAAATCAATCCAAAGGAAATGGATCAGAAAATCACCCAAAAAAGGAAAACTATTCTAAGTTAAATTTAGCAATTAAACCAGCCTCCTCTCATATTCGTACCCCAATGTGAATTAACTGCAAGGCGAGCGCCTGTGAAAGGCTTGAAATTCTCTCAAAAGACGGAAAATAAACCTGGCAGTTTTTTTCCATATGCAAATAACGGAAGTTATGCACCAGTGTGACCTGCGGTGAAGAATTAGTGCATTGCTTGAACTCTAACCAGTTAAGCTCGATTATCTATTTCATTGGTCACAAAAGCACAATCCCTTAAAAAATAGCTTAAACAGTCTGCATTTGTTGACTTTATAATTTTTTCAGCTTAATACAAGTTTTTTTTAAAAATCAGTCTATGCACATTTCTCAGAGGTATGTTATTTTGACTATAATATTGCGACACACCAAATAATTTCATTTTTGGGCAGCAAAGTCATGGCGACTACTCAGGATCATCGACCTGTCCCCTGACTAAATTTCAGTCAAGCCTTAGGTATTCGACAAGCGATGACAAGTTTATCTTGAAAATATTTTGATATACAAAATGTTTAACGCTCGAATTGATGGCTACAGAGTCGTTAAGTCATGTATCCACAAATCAGTGTTTAGTCTTAGCAACTCCTATAGTGTGCTCGATGCTGAAGCTTGGTGGTCCAGGTGACTCGTGGTGACGTCGTCGCTGAGCACGACGCCGCGAACTCTCGCCGAACGCCGATTTCACATCACACCAATTCGTCTAAAATGGCATCGTCTTGTAAGTGTGCCAGTTTATTCGTTTCCTACAAAACAATTCTGCAGTGCAGATCACTATTGTCACGCCTGCCTTATTTATGTTATTAAAAACTCCAACCTTGCACGCAATAAGTGAATTTGGGACACCATGAAGTTTGAATTTAAGACAAATTCATCAGTAATTTTTTTACCTAGTCCGAACACTTAGTCGAAAATGAATCACTCGTCAAATATCTCTCGCCATGTCGAATTGTGGTCTACAACTAATGGGAATGAAACATGTAGCATACCAAACACCGAAAATAGGAAATACATGCCACTCACATGCAAGGACAGGTTAATGCACGTCTGCGAACTATAAATCAGTAACACCCAAGACAGCCCACTTTGTTTAGATGGCCAGAACACTTCTTTTAGTCTACCACTAAATCTTCTAACTCAGTTTTGCACAATACGACAGTTTTTTGTAGGTTCACCAAGCTCTGTTAGCTACTGTCAGCAGGGTACTGGTGCATGGGGTGACCGAGGTACAAGCAACTCTACTTATAGACAAAGGGTTAAAATTGTAATACTTAATCATGCGTACAACTTACGAATAGCAAAACATTATTTGAAATGCACATTTGACAACGGTCGACGGTTACAATGCGCAGTTTCATTTATTCCTTATTGTAGTAACTACTGGGGTTCGGTTACATTTGGGCCGCTCTGTCTACTCGCAGGTGGGATTAATGCCTGTTACGCTGGAAATGTTGTTGTACACTTTGTTTAAGCTGTCGCACTTGCTTCGGGTATCGCAGTCGTGCATAATATTAACTTTTAATGTAAAATGTAGTACAGTTCATGATTTCCCAATTTCACCGAGTGTAGAAAGATAAAATTAAATTAAAACATTTTTGGCGTCGCATTCATAAAAAAATTTATTTGATTGCATCTTTTTCCAAAAAGTGTTCATTCTAAATAGCATTATTTTGTGAAGCAGATAGGAAAATTAATTTAAAAAGGCAAGTTCAAGCCATTTTGAACTTAAGCGCAAATTTTACTTCAAAATACTTTATCGATGAAAAATTTACGTGTGAATTCGCATCTGTATGGCTAATCTTCTAAATAATAGTACCAGTTTTGTAATGATACACAAAAACCTCGGCAATTAGAAAGATATTTTATCTGTACAAAAAACAATAGGTACCAAAGTTGCTTTCTTGCAGATAGCATACCTCAATGTTCACTTTAAAGGTAATAAATGGCAAACTCTGGCCATACCACCAGGGAATGTACGAATTTAGGGCTACAAAGATTGGTCGAAGCAACGATTGGCCAAGTCATCCTGTGACATTTCGTTGGTTTACCACGCAGTCATGACTAAGCTTAGGTGACATCGACCCTGTCCACAAGTGCGTACGACAACGCATTACTACGGGTAAAATTCTGCGTTCGTCAACACCTTCCAGCAGGTACCTGATTTAATGATTTTGTTGCGCTTCAATGAACCAATCCCCTGTCACTTGAAGACACCTTTT